CACCTGTTGCATGCTGAGGCAGGCCTGTGAGTATCCTAAGCAGGTATATCCTTAGAAATGCTCCATGCTACTCTTATTACTATGACCATTACTGCTTACAACACAATGTACCATTTGATGAGACTATTATAAATGGGTCAAGCATTGTACTTTAGGGCTTTATGTATCTCATTTATCTGCATAACATTGCTGTGAGCTAGTTGTTATTGTTTCCATTTTACACATAAAACTAAAACCCAGAAAAGCCAGCCCATTAAGTGGCAAACCTGGGATTTGAACTCTTTCCCTCTGATATAAAGATATGTTGTATTTATCACTATTAGACTGTAAGCAGAAACCTTGAGAATGCTTGGTTTTATGTTTTATTCAACTAAAGTACATTGAAAACCTACTATATACAAGGTACTATGCTAAGAATTGTGCATTAATTACATTATCTTCTTATAACAGTCCTATGAGCTAAGCAGGGTTTTTCATCTTGGCTCTATTGCCGTTTTGGCCAGATAGTTCTATCTTTTGAGGGGCTGTCCTGTGTATTGCAGGATGTTTAGCAATATACCTCGTCTCCTCTTCCCCTCAGTTGTGACCACCCAAAATCTCCAGATATTGCTAAATATCCCTTGGGGGCAAAATCACCCCGAATGAAAAACAGTGAGTTAAAATAATCCTACTTTACAGGTGATGAAAATAAGGTACAGAGAGTTTAGAGTAAATTGCACAGGGTCACAAATCCAGTAAGTGGCAGAATTTGAATCTGGCTCAGGACCTTGGAACCTGACCTCACATTCCTTTTCCCCTGTGGCATCCCTTTATCGGACACTGCCATGTTTCTAAGGAAACTCAAATACCAAAGAGGCCTTCAGGTGTCTCCTGAAAGCCTGACTTCTCCTAGGGTGAGCTGGCCATCAAGATTTTGTCCAGGACTTAGAGGCATGCACACAGGAGGAAACCATGGGTTGCTTCCACTAATGGTTGCAATACAAATAGTTCCACAACTTTGTCTGTACCATTCATAGCTGCTCTCATTTCCTATCAAGTATGAATATATTTTTTGTCCAGGAAGGTTTCAATCTGTTGCAAACAATAGATGGGTAAAGCATAAAGTTGCAAACCAGTTCAGTCAGTCGCTGGGAGTTTCTGAAGTGACTTAAATAGCCCTGCCAATGTAGGTCGCTATTTTTAAGGCTGAGCTAAGTGTTTGAAAGTGGTTCACACAGCCATGCTCTCAGATAGAAGTCACAGGACATCAGAATTGCAAGAACTCCTAAGGCCTTGCCTGAGACCGGTGGAAATGGACACTGTGCACCCAGGATCACACAGCTGGGATTTCTGATAAAAACAAAACAAAACAAAACAAAAACAAAAAACAAAAAACAAAGAAAAAAAAACTTTGATGTTTCCTTCTGCCTTGAGAATGGCTGAACTCATCACCTTCTGATATTCTGGGAAGGTGTGACTGCTTGGTTAAGCCCCTTCTTGCCCTGCTCTTGCCAGAATGGAGAAGAATAGATGACTGAGCCTTTCACTGTTTTTCTGTTCTGAGGATGGATTAAAGCCATTTATACTTGCACAACCACCCAAAGTCCTATATTATAGTTATTTAGCAAACACTTTATAGCACATACTGAGTGCTTTACAAAACCTACTTAATATTCTCCCAATGGGTCCTATTGTCATCATTTTACCAAGGAGTAACTGGAATTGAGGGGGTTAGAGAGATGAAGTAACTTGTTCAAGGTCGTGGAAAATAAACGGCAGAGCCTGGATTGAAGAGTCTGGTTCTAACCCAGTGTTTCTCAAACTTGAGTGGGCATCAGCATTGTGTGGAAGCTTGTTAAACACAGATTGCTGGGTCACCCCCATCACCCCAGAGTTTTGGATTCAGTAGGTCTTGGGTGGTGCCGCAAAATTTACATCTCAAATTCCCAGGTGAAGCCGCTATTGCTGGTCCTGGGACTATACTTCTCAAACTCTCTGCTCCAGCATATCTCCTCTTGATCACCACACCCTTTCTCTCCTACCTTATCAGCTAATTTAAAAAAAAAAAAAAGAAGAAGAGTTACTTGGAGCAGTGGGTCGCCACTTTGGCTGACCTGGGTAGTATAAAATACCAATGCCTAGGCCCTATCCCCAGATATTCCGACTTCAATGGCTTGGCTTGGCTTTGGTTCCAAGCATCTGTAGTTTACAAGTTCCTCCACGGGGGATTCCAATGTGCAGTAAGGCATCACATTGGAAACCACTGATTTGGGTGATGCCTCACAAACTTTCCAGGGTTTGTAAATTACATGGGGATCTCAAGAAAATGCAGATTCTGCATTTCTAACAAACCATGAGGTAGTACCCATGCTACCAGATCTCAGCCTAAGCTTGGGGTAGCAAACACTAGTATTTCCCAAACCCAAGATTGCCAGTTAAAAAATACAGAATGCCTCCTTCAATTTAAATTTTCAATAAATAATAACATTACTTTTTGGTATAAGTATATCCTATATATTTCAATAAAATTATACTAACATTTATACTAAAGATTATTCATTGTTTATTTGAAATTCAATTTAAGTGGGTATTTTTGACTTTGCTTTTTTGCTAAATCTGGCAACCTTACCTGAAGACAAGAATCATCTGAATTACTTGTTTCAATGCATTTACGCCTATTCATGGATTTCTTGTTCTATTCCAGACCTGCTGAATCATAATCATCATTTCTGGGACCTGGTAATCTGTATATTTAACAAGTGCTGCCAGGTGCTTCTTTTCAGCTCAATTTGGGAAGTACATAAAACCCTGGATTATGACTGCCTGAAATCCTCATACTGGCCGTTGTCAGGGCTGGACTTGTAGTCATCACACTGCATAGGAGCCAGAGCCAAATCCCTCTGCAATTACGACCTGTGTCGTTAACTTTTCTCAAGGTTTTTATGGATAAATACTTACAAAGGGTGTTTTTTTCCTTCCACTTGCACTTTTTATTTGCTAAATCATACTAAGGCCTTTCAGATCCATGTATTTTTTTGTCAACACATTAACAGACATGTAGCCATATTTGATCTTAATTATTCAATTATTTGTTTTGTATCAGGGGATGCTCCTTGAGCTAGAGTCACTTGATTCGCATTTGTAGAGTTTTCCAGTATTGGCACTTCATTTGGTATTTTATGACAAGAGGCTTTATTTGAAAATATCTTGCTAAATGGTTGTTAGCTGCTTCCTGAACATACTGTACAGGACAACGTAGTTTATAATAAAATTCAGGCTTCCTCCAACTCATTATTATAATGCTGTATTTTACATGTAAATTATATTAGGAAGCCTGTGTCTTTCCTTTAGTGATTAAGATTTCATGGAGGGGAAGAAGAATGGAAAGAAAAGGAAAAGGAAAAGGGAAAGGAAAGGAAAGGAAAGACAGTTTGTTTTTAATAAGCCTCCTCTGGGGAAGATAAACTTTCTGATACCGTACATAATTGAGTAAGCCAGAATAAATTGTTGCATTCTCTACATAGGCCTCTTTTCACTCACAAGGATATTCTTTGTGCCATCTCTAACTGTACTATTGCTTTTGGAAACGTTTTTAATAATAGAATAGACTGTGTTCATACCTGTAAGAACTTGTTTTCTTGATACCACCTTACAAAGCATTCCAAATGCTTTCTCTACTAGTGTAGAGAAATTGGTGGGGTTTTCTTGGAGTTTTTGTGTGTGTGTGTGTGTGTGTGTTTTTTTAATAGTACCTCAGGGTAGCAAATTCATGTGTTCTCTCACTGCAGGGAAGCAGCACATTTAAAAAACAAAAACAAAAACAAAAACCACCAGAGGAAATTGCCACTGCTGACTTTTGCACAAAGAGGAACAAAATGCTTCCCATGTCTTTTAGTAGTCAATGGGCCACAAATAATCCTATGGTGGCATTCTACATTTACCAGACCAGTATTAAATTCGTGAACACTTTTTCCAACAAAAACAAACTGTTCCTACATCCTTTATAAAGGCTGCAGGAAAATGGAAAGGAAGTTAAGGAAAAGTAATGGAGGTGGTTAAAATTATGCAAAATAGTTCATCTGCGGAAAACATGCAGGAAATAGGCTTGTTTCACTTGAGAGGTGCTGGAAGGGCTGGGCTGGGCTGGAGAGGGATGAGTTGCCCAGTATCCTGGGGAATTGAAAGTCTGAAAGGCCGAGACCCCTGCTTTGGATGTTTGCTGCGGGAGAGCCACCACATGAGGTTGTTTAGGGTGCACCTAGTGTGAGAGTTCCCAGCTGTGTTAGCCCCTGCCACACTCACTAGCCTGAGCGGTCACCAGGCTGGGGGAAGGGTGCCTGCTCTGTGGTCATCTAACCGCAGGGGGCGCTGTTTCCTCTTTGCAAAGGGCTCACAGGTAGCTGAGACTGTGAGTTCCTGAAAGCATCATCACTGCTCCCTGCCACCAGCTTCGGTGGTGCCAGCCTGGGATTTGGAACCACCCAAAGGCTTTTACAGGCTATGCAGTGAGTAACTTCATCTGGAGTGAAAGGACCAAGTGATGAGGGATGTTGAGCCATCCTAAAATGGCATCGTTTACTTCCTTCCAAAGTATGGTTAAGGTCTGAGGAAGTCTTGGGCATTCATGAGGGCAAGGAGGAATTTCTGCAGGTCCTGGACTGAGGAGGCTTAGCCAGGATTCAGTAATGCTTCAGAAACTGGGCTCAGGCCTCTGGTTAGACTGTGACTACAAGGCTACCCATTGCTATTGCTTGTCACGTGGAGTTACTTCCTCTTTCTTCTTGATGTTGGAAAGGCAGGCACCTAGAAAATTCTCCAGAACCTACCCTTTCATTTTGCTCCTGAATTGAATTTAAGTTGTAAACTAGAAATTGTAAAAGATAATTTGTCGATTTTTGTTGCAACTTAAATTGGGGGTTTGCCCAATTTAAGAGGAGCAAGTCACATTCTCCTTTCAGAGTTTGTCTCAGAAGGAATGTTCAGGAGTCAGGTGTAATGATGCTTTTTTTTTTCTTTTCCAGCCACAGGACGAAGTCTTCAGGCTGGCCACCTCCCTCAGGACCCTGGGGCTTGAACCAGGTGCCCCCCTATGGATGGGAGATGACGGCAAACCGAGATGGGCGAGACTACTTCATCAAGTAGGTTCAACAGATGGCATGAACAATACGATCCTTGGCCAATGGACTTCTTTATCTTTATGAGAATGAACATACTTAAATTAGGCACTCATAGGCATTTGGAGGCCATGACTAAAGCAGCTGGATCTCCTAAACCAACTGCTTATATTTCTATATATTTCTATATTTATTTCTATACACTTGTATTTCTATATATTGTGATGTTGGGTGGCTTCATTCTTGGACAGGCACCATCTTCGAGTGACAATTTACTGTGTAGATGGTAAGCCTGACTCAGAGCAAAAGTTACCACCGTTCAATATTAGGCCAAGTTGTATTCATTGTCTGAGACTAACAACCAAAGTTGGACATGCAAGAATTTCATTTACAAGGCTTTTTAGGAGTGGTCAAGACAGGAATGTTACTTTCTCATCTGTAATTTTTTAAAAATCAGCTAAAAGGATAATATACATTATCTGTTTTATCGTAAATTTCTCACACTAACATTGGCTTAAGTTTTGGATTTTTGTGGTGCTCTGGTTTTTTGTTAATTGTGGTATAGAAAGATAACATGAAATTTACCATTTTAACCATTTTTAGGTGTACAATTCAGTGGCATTAAGTACATCCACAATGTTGTGCAACCATTCACTACTATCCATTTCCAGAACTTTTTCATGATACCCAAAAGAAACTTTGTACCCAATTAAACAACAACTGCCAGTTCCTCCCTCCCCTTACCCCACGGTGACATCTATTCTACTTTCTGTCTCTATAAGTTTATCTGCTCTAGGGACCTCATATAAGTGAAATTATATATCTTTTTGTCTTCAACTTCGTTCACTTAGCATAACATTTTCAGGCATGTCAGAATTCTGTCCTTTTTTATTTTTCCTTTTTAATGTTCCCTTGTGTGGACATTTTGTTCATTCATTCATCTGTTAATTGGCATTTGGGTTGTTTCCACCTTTTGCCTATTGTTACTGGTATTTTTATGAACATTTGTGTACAAGCATCCATTTGAGTCTCTGCTTTCACTTCTTCTGGACACACATACCTAGGCGTGGAGTTGCTGGAACATATGGAATTGCCGGGTCAAAATTAAAGTCTGTGTTTAACTTTTTGAGGAACCACCAAACTGATTTTTGGAGTGGCTGCAGAGTGGTCTTGTTTTTTGTTTTTTGGTTTTGTGTGTGTGTGTGTGTGAAAAGAGCATTTATATTTCTCAAAATGGCAAGGGTCCATACTGCCCTTTTTCTCCAACCTGAGCAAAATATCCTTAATTATAAGACATTCATGAAACAGATTTGAAATCAGGAAGCGTGGTTGGTTCTAGCCTGATCATAATAGAGCAGAGATTGGAGGCCAGAAAAAAATTATTTCACAACCACATGCTATGTTCTTTGTTCCAGCCAAGTTGATTATGGACTGATTAGTCAAACACAGGATCACCGTGAGGTGAGGGGTCATTTTCATAAAAAATATCTGCCAAGGTTGTTTCTAGGGGATTTGGTCTTTTGTACCAACCCCTGCCCACCACCACCACCACATACAAGTGAGGATTATTGAAAAATAGCAACAGGGACAACACATGTGAATGTTGTGGACAGTTTCTCAGTCTCTGAAGCCCAAATCTCTCTCCTTCCCTAGAATTGCTGCACAGGGGACAGGACTCCCATCCCTTCAGAGCACAGTTTGTTTCTGAGGTACTTGACTCCTGGGTCCATCCCAGGAAGATCCAGGATGCCCTTGAACATGACTGGAAAGTGGCCCCCTGGCTCTCCAAGGCTTTCCTAAGGATGAGCTCACAGAGATATTATCATAGAAATGGCAGTGGGAGCAGAGCCTCCCAGAAACCTCAAAGATTAGAAGAAAGGCCAATAGTTTGGCTCAAACCCCAGATTTTGAATTCATAATTTCACACCATTTGTCCAAGTCCCTTAGGCTGCTAGGAAGATGGTAATTTTTAATATTATATTGTACCATCTATTTTGTAACAGGGCTATGACTGTGTGCAATTGGCTTAGTTAAGGTGACCTAGATGCTTTGACTCAAAACAATAAAAATTTGTGGCTGAAGAAATATAGTTTTTAAAAGACATAGATTTATGGGTTTATGAAGGTATGCATCAGACTTCTCTGATTAAAACAGATGTTTATTTTCCTCTGGTTGGATTTGGGTTCCCATACATTCCAGGTCATTCGATCAATAGATGGAAACCCAAACTGAGGCCAACTGGTTAGAGGTTCTGGGAACGTCAGCTAGCTCTGCCTTCATGCATTACCATTACCATCACTGACATTTTTAAGAGCCAGACTGGGTGTCAGTGTAACATTTACACTGGCCTAATGCCCACTGTTAAAACATAAGAGCAAATCAGCAGCTTAATAGAGAAACCTGCACTGATTACTAAATGGCAAGTTTTAAAACCAAAGTCACCAGTGTCATTTTTCCAAATCCATGCAATTTCATTTTACTTGAAAAGTAAGTTTCTACAGTCCTCTCAGAGAAAGTTTTAAGATGTCAAGAACAGTATTTCTTCTGAAAGTGTTTGTTCTTTATCACTAATGAGTTTTATAAATAATGACAATCATTATTTTTCTTTTTTTTTTTTTTTTTAACTTACTGGGTAATGTTTATTACAAAGAGGTACTCTAATTATCAGAGTTCTCGGGAGCCCAGGTTTGCAGTGTGGAATATTTCTGTACTCATTAGTTTTAGAAGTTAAAGGGACAATTTGAAAATTAATCTATGGTTAGTAATTAGCACCTTTGCATTTAATTTTTCACTCTCTTGCATATTTTTGAAAGAGAAATTTAGATGTTTTCTTTTTTTTTTATCTCATCTTACTATGTAAACAATAACCCACATCAAACAATTGTTTTTGATGGAAGTACAAGTATTCCGAGTGACAGACAAAGCTATGGGAGGAAGTTGGCTTTTGTGTGTTCAAAGTTAGAGTCTAACAACTAAATAATGAGATAATTTTAACATAATGAGTCTTTCAGGACATGGCCCAGGAGAGTTCAAAATGTGCTCAAGTTTCATCTTCCCTCTTCCATACTCAATTTTTTAGGGTAGGGCTCGGTAAGCTGTTTTCTATAGAGTTACTGATTCACGAGGTTAAATGAAGGATGCAATACACACATGCTAATATATGTTTTATAATACTGTATAGGCTACAAACTAATGGTTCTCAACCTTGGCCACACATTGGAATAGACTGAGGATCAGTAAAAAATCCTGATGCCTGGGTCTGGGGTCGAGCCTGGGAATAGTGAGTTTCAGGAGCTCCCCAGGTAATTCTAATGAACAGCTATGGTCGCTGCTGTAAAGCACTTGTCAACACATGATCTCATTTGTTTGACTTCAACACAGAAATGATTAACTCCATTTTTCTGGATGGTAAAACTGAGACTCAGCCTGTGAGAAAGAAAAACTTTTGTTGATATTCTTGGAGAAATATGAAATGCAGTTTTAAGGAACAGAAAACATTGTTTAAGAAATATGATAGATGCAAATTTAAAATTTCTCAGTTCCTTATTATTACCAGTTAAGAGACAGCAGAGCAGGGGAAGGGAGGAAGACAGATAGAAAGAAACTACAAGGAAAAGGAAAGAGTCATGGGAAAGAGTGTCCCAATGAGAAATGGATGAAAGATGGAGAGATGAAGAGAAACAGAGAAAGTGAGATACTCTAAGGTGATTGTTATAATAACAGCCTCAATTAGTAATAACTTTAGAGGTAGGTATAGATGGAAAGGGATGTAGATATATTATAGAGCCAATCATAGATACAGATACAGACATAGATGTGGATATACATAGATATAGAATATAGATATTGATGTATTAATACAGATATAGATGGGTATAGATATACAGATGATATAGACTATAGATATAGATGATAGAGCTATAGATATGGATACGGGTATAGATGATTAGATACAGATATAGACTATAGATGAGTGACTTATACAATCACATTCACCCAGGAGAGTCCTGGTTTATGGGTGTCATTCTGAAGTAATTACAGACAGCACCTCCTTTTGCTCTCAAAGTGTTCTGGTTTGGACAATACAAGATAAGGTATTTTTAAAATACATGTTTAAAAGTCAGAGAATGAGGAACACCATTTTTTAGTTAAATTGGGTAAAAATATGCTTGTTTGATTGTGAAGGTAGGGAGAGTTAATGCAAAAGTACCATGATTCAATAAATCTGGAACTTTGGTTTTGTAAGTTACAGGAAAAAATTAAAACACGAGCAAAATGAATATTACAATACTAGCTGGCAAAATAGATTATTATGATAAGCCAAGTTAGAGTCTGAGGATAGAGATGAGGGTTGGAGAGGAGACTGGAGGGTCAGTTCCGAAGCACATGGCCTGATTTTTCAAGTTCTAAATTTGAGAGGCTTTTTTTTTGTTGGCCTGCTGGCTTCCTGGCCACCTTCATTCTGTGTGCACAAAAAGTAGCCCTGCATGAGGATTGGACAAGACATGCTACTCTATTATTCTACCAGCAATTCCCATGGTGGGCAATTAAACTGAGTACTATCTCCTTAATGCAGAATAATTCAACTCTGAATCCTGAAGAGTGGAAATTAGTAATGAGATGTGGAAACTTCCACTTTGTTCTCCAGTATGGGCTTGGCTCAACTTGGGAGTAGTTTAGTCATTCTCATCCGTCAATCTATTCCATGGTCAATGTGAAATGTATTTTTGGCTTATCTGTCTCCAGAAAATAATAATCTGAATAAATACAAATAATTTGTGTGCCCTTTCTTATCAACCACAGCAGAAGACAGTCAAGTCAACATGATAGGATTCTGTCATCATGGAAATTAGAAACAGAAAAGGCTTACCTCATTCTTTTGTGTGAGCCTCAAAGTATTTACCCAGTCTAATAGGTTATCTTCAAATATTATATGGTAGTTCTAGGGCTATTCTTTGGATATTTTATTTCTTGATTTTTACAACAAGATTTCATGAGACTTTTACTGTTATTCTGTGGAGTCC